GGACGGACGGACGGAGGCAGCCAGCGGCTTTAAGGTGATGGGGGGGGCGCGGCTCCATCTCACCCACACCCCCCTCCCATGCGATGCAGGACCTGGTGCTCAGCTGAGCAGGGGTCTGTGGACCCCCAGGTGCGGCCCCCCCCCGCCCTGCGCCAGACTCAGGGCTGAGACCCGACACAAGCTGGGACACTGATGGAGAGGACAAGCCCAGTTCTGCAGCAGTGCAGGTCGGGGGGGGGCGCGGGTCCGGCTCCGCCGTGGGCTGGGGAGTGGGCACGATGCCGGGGCAATAGGCGCGTGGGTGCCGCCTGCTTTTTGGGGTACGGGCTGGGGGGGGTGCACCTGGGTGTCCTACCCCTGTCACCATCTTGCCCCCCCGCCCCCAGCAGCCACGGGGTGGCCCAGTGCGGGTGGATAATTAGCACCGGCCACGTAATGAACCCCTGGCATTGCAGGGGGGCAAACACCAGCACCCCCAGGGTCCCGTGGGTGCTTGCACTGGGGTGGCCCCTGCTGCAAGGTGGGTGACACCCCGGTGTACATTGCTGCTGGGCGCGAGCGTGGGGGGTACGGAGTGGGATCGGGGGGGCTGCGCACCCCACTGTGGAGCCTCCCTCCCCCTGTTTTACACCCCTGTTGAGCTGCTGGCAGCCGAGGGCTTCGCCGGCAGCACCGAAGGGTCCCGAGCGGCAGCGGGGCCCTGGGTGGCAGCTCTGGAGGGGCCTCGCCCCAGTTTTAATTAATACAAGAGAATGAGGGCGCAGGCGGGGGGGCTGGGGGCTCCCCCCGTTCAGCACCCAGCTTGGTGCTCCCCCACGGGCTGCTGCACCCAGCAGGATGCGTCCCTGCGGGACGTGGGGCCACCGGCAGCGCCGGGGGGGGTATCCCCAGGGTCCTGGATGGGGGGTGCCCCGACCCCCCCAGGCTGGCAGCAAGGAGGTGCTGGGGGTGGGCATGCTGCGGGGGGGGGTGCAGGGTGAGGTGATGGGGGGGAAACCTGGGAGCTTCTTTTCTTGGGGGGTGGGGGGGGTGTTAAAACCCACCCCAGTCTTCTGTGGATTCTCTGATGTCTGATCGAAGCCACGCCTGCACCCCACCGTCCCGGCTGGGTGGGCGTCCCTGGGGACCCCGTGCAGGATTTTGGTGTCTGTGGGGGCCCCAGCCCTGTGTTGGGATGGGGAGGGGGGGTCACAGGACGGGGACATGCCAACAGCACCCGCTGTGCAAGGGAGCGGGGCTGGGGACATCCCCCCTGCCGGGAGCGGGGCTGTGCACCCAAACCGGGGTCTGTGGCGGGGGGAGGACGGGGAGTGGGGCTGGCACAGCCTGGCAGGGACTTGTCCTGCCCCAGCACCCCCCCGGGGGGGTGGCACTTGGAGCTGTCACCCGAGTGCCACCAGTGGGCTGCGGGTTGGTGGGTGCCCACAGCTGGCTGGGCAGCTCTGTGGGGCTGGTGGGTGCTCGGGAGTCCATTAATGTCCCGCTCGTCCCCTCGCCGGTGACCCTGCTGCAGGGCGGGGATGGCACAGGGGACAGGGACACCTTTACCGCCGCAGCATTGCCCCATGGCGTTGTGGGGTCCCAGCAGGCGTGCGTGGGGTGCTGGTCCCTGCGGACTGGTCCGGCTGGAGGCGGCACGAGCATCCCTGGGGCCAGCGGGCGACCTGGGGCCTCATCGTGCCCCACGGCATGCCAGCAGCCCTGGGCTGTGCCGTGCACGTGCCGTGGCAGGCACCGTGCCGGCAGACAGCGCGGTGGAAGGGAAGGATGTTGCGAGGCTTTTTTAAGCAGTGGGGAAAGGTTATGACAGGATTGATGAGCTTCAGGGTGGGAAAACAGCTCCGTGTCTGGCAGCACCGGCAGAGCCAAACACAGTTAACCACGCAGAAGGCTACGGCAGGGTAATTAAATTATCCCAACGTGGCACCTGTAAAGCAGCGAGGGCCCATCCATCTCCTGCTCAACCCAAACCTCGCCTCTCCTTCCTCCATCCCCGGTGGGGAGCGGCGTGGCCGGTGCCTTTGCCACGCACCCGGCGCCGGCATGTGCCGTCCCGGTGGCCGCACCGGCCGCGACCCAAACCCCGTCCTGGGCTGCAGCTCCGGCGACTGGAAGGGGCTGCGGGAAGACGACAACCCTCTACCCATTGCCGGCAGCGCCGCGGTGTCGAGCTGTGCACCCACCGCCGCTCACCGGCTGGCCGCCGGCCCCGCTGCAGCTCTGGGAGCGCGGCTGCCAGCCAGGCGGATACAATTAGCCACCGGCCCCTGACGAAGGCTTCGTGGCGAAGGGATGCGGCCGGCAAAATGCCGATGCTCCAGGCGACGGAGCGGAGGTCGGCGCAGCGCTGGGTGGCCTCGCAGTGCCGTGGTACCTGGGGTCAGGGCTCGCCAGAGCAGGCAGCAGGGCAGGCAGGAGGGAGCACCCCCTGCTCCCGGCCAGGCTGGCAGATGCAGGCAGTGGGCAGCGGGGTGCAGCTCCCCAGCATCCGGGCGGGAGATGCTCCGTGCGCAGGGCACGCGATCGCTTGTGCTTTGCTCGAGTGTTCGTGCACACGTGTTCGACCTGCGCGCGGGAGCTGGGGCGCGCACCCGTGGGTGCCTGGGCTCTGCCAGCGCCCGGTGCGCCATGGGCGGCTGCACTTACGGCCGCCCTGGCCTGGCACAAGGGAGGTTTGGGAATGGGGATGCCAGGGGTCAAATTTGGCCGAGGCCGAGGCGTGCGGTGCCGCACTGGCTGCACCGTGTCCCGCTGCCGTTCGGTCCGGCTGCTGCTGGATGGAAATGCGGCTTTTGTGCCAGAGGCCGTGCCAGAGCCTTGCTCCGGGCGTTACGGACCGGGCGCTATGGCCCCAGGGATGCCGCAGCCTGGGGGGACCCATCACCCACCCATGGTACCAAGCAAACAAATTTCTGGGCTGCTGGCAACAGCCCTGCTCAGCCGGGAGGACCGGTGGGACCCTCCATGGTGGTCGGGGGGTCGGGCACAGCCCCTTGGGCACAGCGTGGCACACCCGGAGGGGTCCGGCTCTCCCGGAGGGAGGATGCTCCGGGCTCCCTCCTCTTCCTCGGCGGCAGCAGCAGGCAGCGGAGGCGATCAGCATGCCGGGCGCGTGCAGGGAGCCTTGGCTCGCCGCCGCCCCATGGATGCTCTCAAAGGGGCTTTATGTGCACAGAAGCTCCGGGGCTCGGCTGGCCCCCAGCCTCCCCCACCCTGTGGCTGGTAGCCCCCAGGGTCGACCCTTTTGAGGGGTGCTCCTCATGCCAGGGCTCAGCTCTTTGCAGCAGGGTGGGCCTGGGGTGGGAGGCAGGTGGACCCCCACCCTGGGCAGCGTTCGGATACTGCCCAGGACGCTGGACACAGCTGGTCCAGTGTGCTTCATCTGCAGCATCTCCTGCCTGCTCGGCATCCCCTGCCTGCCCGGCATCCCCTGCCTGCCCACTCCCAAAGCGCCGTGGGGCTGCAAGCCCCCAGGCTGGGGAACGGAGGGAGCTCCAGGGGACACCAAGACTGTCCCCAGCAGGGGTGACACATATGTCCCCAGCACCGGACTTGGCTGTGCCGGCTGCTGGTGCCTGGATTTGGTGCCGGAGGGTGGGATTGCTGCCTGGGGACCACAACAGGGGGATCAGCTCCCGGCAGCGTCCATGGAGCTCCCCCTTACCCACACACCCTACACCGTGTGAGATGCCAGCTGATGCCACGCGCTTCGCAGGGAGCATTATTTTGCAAATCCACTTGTTTGGGGGCTTTAATTCCCATTATGGGATTAATGGCGATTGCTGGCCCCAGCAGAGCTGCTGGGAAAAGGGAGCTGGTGGGTTTGTCATGGGGTGGTGGGGACGCCTGCTGTGCCGCCACGGTGGTCTGGAGCTGGCCCCAGCTCAGTCCTTCCGGAGCTGCTGGGAAGGGAGATGTGGGGTTCTCCGGGGCTGCGGCAGCGTGCTGCGGGGTGACGCGCACACAGGTATATGGGGTGCAGGGTGGTCGGGGTGCACGGGGTCTGCAGGGTGCAAGGGGTACATGGGGGTGTGCAAGGTGCATGGGGGTGCACGGCGTGCCTGGGGTGCACAGGGGATGCTCCCTGCCTGCAGAGCATCGCAAGAAATCGCCGTGCAGCTGCGATGGAGCAGAGATGCTCTTGCCCTGTTCCTGCCCAGCACCTCGGCTGGGTGGGTGCAGCCAGCAGCACCCCCAGTTGCTTGCTGGGTTTCCGTGCCGTGCCCGGCTGCTCCTGCCCGCAGCGGCAGAGCCGAGGTTCGGGCAGTGGAAATAATCTCCTGGCCTCAGAGATCCCGGTGAAACACATCCCTGGAGTGCGTCACCCCTGGGCTGCGAAGGGCCTGGCAGGGCGGCGGGACTGCGAGTGTGCAAGGCAGCAGCACTGCCTGCAGCCCTGCCTGCGCTGCCAGGCAAGCAGATCTGCGCCGGGGCAGGGGCTGCAGGCTGCCAGCGGTGGCCGGCTTGCACGCTCCAGTTTGCTCTGGCTGGTTTGCACGCCCTGACTTGCTATCACTGGTTTGCACACTCCAGTTTGCTCTCTGGATCTCACACTTCAGTTTGCTCCCTCTGGTTTGCACGCTTCAGCTCGCGCACTCGGGTTTGCAAACTCCAGTTTGCTCTTCAAGGTTTGCACATGCCGGTTTGCTCTCTGGTTTGCACACCCCAGTTTTGCTCTGGTTTGCTCACCACCTCCCACCCCAGCAGCCCAGTTTCGGTCCCTAGTCTGGCCCCGCGTGGCTCTGGGCTCTGCCTGTGCTCCCCAGCTGCTCCCTGGTGCAGGCAGGGAGCAGGCAGGGAGCTCGAGATGCAGAGGATGGCATGCTCCTGCTGTCATCCCTTGCTGGTTCCCTTCACTGGGCAGAGCTGGGAGCAGATCTGGGTGCCGTGGAGCAGATCTGGTTGCCCATGGAGCAGAGCTGGGTGCCAGGGAGGATAACTGGGAGGACCCTGCCTGCCAGACCCCGTGCTGGGGTGGCTTTTGGCCAGGCACATGCCTGACACACGTCCACCTGCCCGGTCAAACTCCGTCATATGCATTGATTTTTATTGCTCGATGAAGCTTGGAGCAGCCGAGATGAAGACGAGAATTTGGGAACGAAGGCGGTGGCTGGGCAGGCAGGTTCGGGGCGGGGAGGGGTGCGTGGCCGGATCCTGCCCGCCGCTGTGGGTGCAGAGAGCTCACATCCCTCCCCGCCGGGCGCCCGCAGGTGGAGGTGGAGGTGGAGAGCATGGACAAGGCAGGGAACTTCATCGGCTGGCTGCACATCGAGGGTCTCAACCTGTCGGTGGCCCTGGTGGAGCACGCCCTCTCCAAGGTCCACTTCACCGCCGAGCGCAGCCCCTACTACAAGGCGCTGCTGGCCGCCGAGGAGGCCGCCAAGCAGAAGAAGGAGAAGGTGAGCGTGGGACAGGACTGTCCCCAGGGGATGACCCCATGCCAAGAGATGTCCCCACCTCAAGGGATGTGCCTAACCCAAGGGATGCCCCCACCCCAAGGGATGCCCCCACCCCAAGGCACATGGGATCCAGGGTGCTGGGGACCAGGGATGCTCCAGCTGCTGGGTACCAGCATAGCCATCGTCCCCTTGCCAGTGGCATGGAGCATGGCCGTGGGGTCCCCCAGCCCGGCATGTGTGTCCCCCAATCCCAGGTGTGGTCCCACTACGAGGAGACCCCGGTGGAGGAGGTGGTGCCGGTGCTGGAGGAGAAGGAGCGCACAGCAAACTACAAGCCCGTTTTCGTGACGGAGATCACAGACGACCTCCACTTCTACGTGCAGGACGTGGAGACGGGTACGGGGATGGGCTGGGGTCCCCCCGCTCTCTTCTCCCCCATGCCCTACCCTGCAGATCTCACCCCCCTGCAATGTCATTCAGCTGCTTTAAGGGACACAGATGGGGATGGGGGGCTCATCCCTGGACCCCCAGCCTGGCACGGCACCGGCTCTGAATCCCCCACCACCTCCCAGCCATGCCATCGTGGTCCCTCCGTGGGTCCCCACCCGGAGAGCACACAGCTCCCCGGGGACCCCCCGCCGTCCCCAAGCACCACAGGGCTGCGGCAGCGGGTGCCAGGTGAAGCCGTAACGTGGCAGCACCCATTGAATTATTAACGCCCCTCTGCAATATTGATGGTGCCGCAGCTCTGGCACCCATGGGTGTTCTGCCATCCGGAGGTGGGGGGAGCTTTATTTCGGTGGGATGAGGATGCTCAGTTTTGGTGGGTAGCCCCCCAAAATCCACATCTCCTGGGTGAAATGAGAGCAGCCCCCGCCACAACTCCAGGGTCAGCGACTTGGGGGGGGGGTGGGCCAGAGGCAGGTGCTGGATCCGACTCCCTCCCCAGGCGCCCAGCTGGAGAAACTGATGGAGAACATGCGCGCCGAGGTGGGCAACCACCCACCCGTGGAGGGCTCGTACGCCCCACGCCGTGGAGACTTCTGCATCGCCAAGTTCGTCGACGGAGAATGGTGAGGAGGGGGTCCTGCTCCCCTTGCCGGGAGGCTGTGGGGCGGCATTGCCCCACGCTGACGTGTGGTTTTGGGGTGACACACACACCCCACCCCATCCTGCTTTCCAGGTACCGGGCCCGGGTAGAGAAGGTGGAGTCGGCCGCCAAAGTCCATATCTTCTACATTGACTATGGCAATGTGAGTGCTCACCATGCCGGGGGGGGGGGGGGCCCCCCGGGGGGCCAACCACGCCCCCCCAGCTCCAGCTGTGCTGTGCGGGCGGGGGGCTGGCTGTGTCCCCCAGCTGCCAAGCATCAGGCAGGGGCAGGATCATGCCCCTGGGAGCGGGGGTCTCAGGGTACAAAGCCATCTGTCTGTCCATCCATCCATCTGCCTGTCCATCCATCCATCTGTCCATCTGTCCACCCGCCTGTCCATCTGTCCATCCATCCGTCTGTCCATAGATCCATCTCTCCGTCCATCCATCCATCCATCCATCTGCCTGTCTGTCCATCTGTCCATCCGTCTGTCCGTCCCTGCCGCTGGGTGCTGACATTTTCATCCCTCCAGCCAGCACCAGGGAGCCCATCATGGGGTGCCCATCACCCTTGGGTGCCCTCCCAACCCCGGCACCCAAGAACCCATCTCAGGGTGCCCATCACCCTTGGGTGCCCTCCCAACCCCAGCACCCTTTCTGCCCCCGCAGAAGGAGACGCTGCCCGCCACACGCCTGGCCGCTCTGCCCCCCGCCTTCAGCACCCGCGTCCTGCCGGCGCAAGCCACCGAGTACAAGTTCGCCTTCATCCAGGTGCCCCAAGACGTAAGTAGGGGGGATGTCCTGGGAAGCAGGGAGGCTCCGGGTCCCCGACAGGAGCGCGGCGTCCGACGCCATGCCGTGCCGCAGGATGACGCACGGGCGGACGCGGTGGACAGCGTGGTACGGGACATCCAGAACACCCAGTGCCTGCTCAACGTGGAGCACCTGGGACCGGGCTGTCCCCACGTCACCCTCCAGTTCGCCGACTCCAAGAGCGACGTGGGGCTGGGACTGGTCAAGGAGGGACTGGTCATGGTGGAGGTGCGCAAGGAGAAGCAGTTCCAGAAAGTGGTAGGTGCTGCTGGGGGGGTGATGGGGGGGTCCCTGCCCTGCTGTCAGTAGGGTGGGCTCTGCCCTGCAGGCAGCCGAGCGGTGATCGATCCCTGGCTCATCTGATGCCGTATTGATCCGGGCTCGGTGGTGGTGGTGGCTGCCTGGGGGCGTGGGGGGGGGGGGGGGGGGGCCCCAAGCGCTGGCCACCCCCACCCAAATGCCTGAGTTCCCTCTTGGAGCCATGCTGGGTAGGGGTTCCACCTCCCTGCCCTCAGTGGGAACCCCCTCTGCCGCCCTGAGGTGCAGGGTAATGGGTGCCATGGAGGGACGGGGTGGGGGAGGGGTTGCACCCCCCACCACGGCTGGGCAGACCCTGCTGGGGGTGCATGGCCCCAAGCCCCCCCGGGAGGGCAGGGGAGGGGGTGCAGGTTCACCCCAAGCCTCTGTCCCCGCAGATCACCGAGTACCTGAATGCCCAGGAGACGGCCAAGAGCGCCCGGGTGAGTGAGGGGGGGTGGCAGATGGGAGTCTGCTGGGGTGCCCGATGCAGCCCCCTTGTCTTGGGGGGTGCTGGATGTGGTAAACCCCCCCCCCAACTGTAGGGGAGATGTTGGATGCAGCCCCTACCATCTCTGGGGTGATGCTGGATGTGGTACCCCCCCATCTCTGGGATGATGCTGGATGTGGTACCCCCAGTCTCTAGGGGTGATGCTGGATGCAGCCCCCCCATCTCTGGGGGTGACGCTGGATACGGCCCCATCCCTTTCCCTCTCTTGCAGCTGAACCTCTGGCGCTACGGGGATTTCCGCGCGGACGACGCAGACGAGTTCGGCTACAGCCGCTAAGGGATGCTTTGGGGCCTGTGCCCCCCCCCCTTCCCCGCTGCCACCACACTAACGTCCTCCC